CAAAATCCTTCTTATATTTTTTGGTAAAATCATCTCATATCCTAATAATGGTATACTTGACAATCTTCTCATTGACCTTCTCTTTATTTGATCAAAAATATTTTTCCAATAAACACCTTGACTTAATTCCCCTGAAGGTGATGATGCAAAATTGCTGCTCCTATCATCACTGCTGCTAATGCTGCTATTGTCTGAATCCGACGAACCCAATGGGGGAGTCTCTAAAACTCCTCTTGGTGATGACGATGATGAGTACTGATCATCTTTATTGTTGTTGTTGTTGATGTCTTCCTCTTTCTTCTCGTCTTGTTCCTTCTTGACTTCATGTTGTTTCTTGTTTTCTCCATTTTCTTGGACATCAGCTGCATCTCTTCTACCTACAAAGTTCATAGGCAAAAGAAGCAAAAAAGTTTTATCAGTCTTAAGCCTGAAAAGGAGAATGGTTCGTTATAGATTAACAACCAGCATATTTTTTAAAAAAAAGATAACGACTTTATACGGATTGTTTTGTTAGGATTCGTCATGAATTGGCTAGTTCTACTGCAACCCTTCTCCTTTATCCCTGCTTGGGACCAGCAATATGAGCAACTTGTTTGGAATTGAGGCATAGTTATTGTGATAGTACTAGTTATACCTTAATATACTACCCAACAGCAAAATGAAGCATACACAATCTTGTATCTTTATTTTGACACTACTATTTAAACCATTAATATACAGGAATATTCATATACCCAATAAGCAAAACCAGAGGCGGAACCAGGATTTTTGGTTTACGGATTCAGAACCACAACTGTTTTTGCTTACTGGTTTCTGGATAGATTATTTATACATACTAAATGAATCTTTTAACATAAATACAGAGTCGTGAGCCAAAGTAATTGGATTCTCCCGAACCTGTAACCACCACTATGGCTCCGCCCTCCCGATAGAATGAAGTACACACAAGCTTGTATTCTTGCAAAGATTCAAGCTTTATTGTTACAATACTATTCAAAAATCATTAACATACAAGAACATTCACATACACAATAAGTAAAATGAAGCATACACAATCTTGTATTCTTATAAAGATTCAACCTTTTAGTGTGACACTACTATTCAGATCATTAATATAAAAGAACATTCATATAACCAATAAGACCAACAAGGTTTCTAATGGAGTAGTAAGTACTTCTTCGTAATTACACAGAGGTCTAGGTTTTGAGCTCTAAGTATGAAGTCGTTTTTATTAGGGATCACTTTACCCACAATTGAGCCTTCAAATTTAGTCGGGCTCCAATAACAGTGCCAGACACCAGTTGGAAAATCCAACAACAACAACAACAAATCCTACCAAGTGGGGAGGTAGAATATACGCAGACCTTACCCCTACCTCGGAGAGGACCGGGTGGAAAATCCAAAAACAAAAATATACCCAACAAGCAAAATGAAGCATACACGAGAAATCTTATATAGCTCCGTAGGTTGACTACCTACACTTTTATTATTGGTGACGGTTCGATTCCCCTCCCCATTTCCCCTTCCCCCTTCCCCTACCACCATTTCTTTTTAATCTAAAAGCATTCACATATTTTGATGTTATAAAGATTCAATCTTTACACCTATAATGACACATAAAAAGGAAATAAATGACAATACGTTCAAAAAGAGAAAATCTAAGAACCTTCCATGGGGGGATAAAAATGGAATTCTTGTCAAAAGCTCAAATGAAACGATAAATCTTCCTGTGATAATATGCAAGGATAAGAGCTTAAGAAAAGATTTCCATAAACATAACTTGCTCTGAACAATATTTACATTAGAGCATTCCAAGCAAATTCTTTCTTCTCCCCTGCAAAAAGAAACAGGAAGAGGAAGAAGAAAAAAAAGGAAAAAAAAAACACTCGAGTTTTGTGAAAGAAAAAAAAAATAGCTTTTAGAGTTATTTTCTTTGGAAAAAAAAATGGAGGTGAAGCTGCAGAAGTGGAGAGAAAAAAACGGATTTAGGGGGTAATAGAGAAACTTATGTTTTTGTACATTTTTATAGGAGTTTTTACCCTTAATGATGAGGTGGCATGTCACGTAGTGCGTTTATCTTATCTAAATATTAAGGCCAAATACATATGCAAATCTTTAAACTTGTCCCTAAATTTCATTTTAGCACTCCAATTCAACCTTGTTCCATTTTAACCCTTCAATTCCAAAATGAAACATAAAAATTGGAGTTGAAGGGTTATAATGGAACAAGGTTGAGTTGGAGTGTCAAAATGAAATTTAGGGACAAGTTTAAGGGTTTCCATATGTGTTTGGCCAAATATTAAATTATGTGAAATTTTATTATATAGCCATTGTTTGAAGCATAGTGAAAAAATAAAGAAACTTTTTACACTATAATAATGAGGTAGCATAATCAGGTCATATGAGATTTTAATAGTGAAGTACAGTTAAAAATAGAGGTATTTTTTCTGTTACTCGGATAACTATAAGAGTACTTTTGTTTCAATAATATCGATAATATCTTAAAGTAAAAGGAGAAATTTGACCCTTTTTTCGAACAATTACACATTGTTGGATGGTTGTTTGTTAAATATATTATTTTATATTGTATTGTGTTGTATTGTATTTTATTGAACTTGAATATTACATTTAAATAGATTGTATCGTTTTTGTTCTTACGTAATACTGCACATTAGCATTTTGAAGGTTAAAATTATAAGAAACATACGTTACGTAATAAAACTATTATGAAAAAAAATTCCTCATTTTAAGAGTCAAAGTTGGAATGATTTTGTAGCCAAAATGTGGTTTTGATTTGAATAAAATTTAATATTAGTCATTAGTTAACAACTTAACATGATGATATAGTCATGATCAATGTGATGTTTTTTGTGTGTATACATAAAATATAAATTATCACAAAAAAAACACATTTTAAATAATAAAAAAGTACTCAATTCGACTCCAAATATTAGTGTTTTGACAAATTAAACTTGATCCAAAATATTTGACGTTTTAGAAATTAGTACTCAATATTGTGTAGTTTAGTGGGTGAACTAAAAGTTGCTAATCTAGTTCAATTATGCTTCATCATAAAAATAATTAATACCTCAACTTGCTAATTTACTTTAATTTATAATTCGATTAATACAAATAATATACCCTACCAATGTCACTTCAGTTAGGGAAGTGCTGTTGAACTGAATTTTCCCCACAAATATAATATGGGAAAACCGGAAAACATATTAATCAGGAAAATAAAGTAGTCTTTTTACTCCAAATTAATTTCTCACTTTAATTATTGGTTTTCGCGGTTAAATTGATTGATTTGGTGTAAATGTATAATGACATGAAGTTTTTACCTTGCTAGTTCTAGAACTTTTTACCTCACCGGGTTGGGATTCAAGGAAGGAAGAGATGAGAGATCTGTGAACAACAACGAAAGAGAACTCGTAGCCTCCCTCTCACTCTTCCTCACACTTATTTGTTCACCTAGCTCCAAATAGACGCAAATCCTTCTTTTGTTTTCTTCATGAATAGAAAGACCCATGATACCTTTCGAAATACTAGAAAGGTAAATAGACTCATTTCTTTTCAATGTTTGTCTGAAGACCTACGGTTGATTATGTATTTATGGCTTGAATCTGTGACCTCTGGTTTCAAACAGAGCTGGCAAATATACTATATCATGATAGTCAAAGAGTTGAATTTTCTAGGGTTTTTTTCTTTTCTTATCTGAACAACTACTTGAGGCAACATTTTTCCTCTTTTGATAGGATCTTGATCTTGGTTATGACTTTTTTTTATACTAAAGTACCAAAACAGTTAGCATGAAGTCATTAATAAAAATTCTTACTTATATTAGGCAGTCAAAATTCAAAGTGGGGCACCAACTTATAGAGCTAATGCAAAAAAAAAAAAAAACATGTCCCACATATCCCGTGTTCACGTAAGGTCTGAGGATGGAATGTGATGTAAGCAGCGTACTATGATGTCAAGTAAACATAATTGATTCCAACGGCTCAAACCTTTGACCTATATCTCACATTGAGACAATTATGTTGCTACTCTGAGGCTACCCTTACCAATTGAAAGTTACAACATGATGAAATATAATGTAAATGATCAAAGAACGTTAATTTGGTGTTTCAAGCTGAAGACCTCCCTTTTGGTCATGGGATAAACATATGGACACTAGTACCACATATTAAGGTTCTCCATTCATCTGACTAATCTGAATTCACGTTGGATAAGCTTGTACTAAGGGGCATAAAGTGCTATCCATCAAGAAGTTTTCAACTGGTGCAGCTTGACCCTGCTAAAGTAGGATGTTTTGTGGATCAGACCGTCTTGAATTCAATTCAATTTATACACCAAGTAGAAAATTTGTACATCCAATACAAACCACTTTGGCAGCTTCAAGACTCAACCATAAAGGACACGTTTACAATTCAAGAACAGAATGAAGTGGTGAATCTTGATCAGAACCAACTAGTGTCAAAATTTTCTATAAAACAAAGAGCACTTGAAGACAAACAGTTTCCATCTCTTCAATTGTCTGTGTTGCTCTCTGAAAACCACATGAAAACATTGATCAGAATCTTTTGGTCATTCATAAGAAGAAAAAGGCACCATTTATAAAGATCACATAAGACCAACCGAATCAACTAAAATCAAATTCCACAAGACCTTGCAGGCCAAGTGCTGTTAGGACCATAAAACTGTTAACTAAACGCCATGGGGATGAAATATATCTCAAATAGTATTCAAATGCTTCCAATTGGTAGAAAATCAAATGTTCATAATATATTTATGTGCATCATGAATAGTTCTATAGAACAGTTGTGTGACTGCACAAATGTTGAGCCTTATCAAGTCCAAACATTGCAAATTCATAATAAAATAGAGGGATCACGCCCCTCTCGCATTTAAAAAACGGAATAACTACTTTGCAAATTCATAATAAAATTAGTTTCAAAAAAAAAAATCATAATAAAAAGAGGAACTACACCCGCAAAATCAGGAATCACACCCCTTTCACATTAAAAATGAAGGGAATCATACTCTTGCAAATTCATAATAAAATAGAGGAATCACACCCCTTCTGCATTCAAATATAGGGGTATCACATACTCGCAAATTCATGTACATATTTGCATGTCTCAGCTTTACAACAAGCATTTATGAACAACATGTATGGGTAGAGCTCCGTGTCCCATCTGTTGCATCAGGTCAGCAACCTCTCAAACATCATCTCTGTGAGCCCAACTGCATCAACAAAAAAGGCAGAAGGGAAGAGGAGAATCACAATCTAGAAACAAGATAGGCAAATAAAAGCAATAGAACCTCCAGAGAGTAGCGAAAGTGGAAATTTAAACTGATATGCTAATCGACGTTCCTTCCTTTTATTTTTACTCCATTAAGTGTTGTTCCAAGGTCTATCAAAGTATATACTGTAAGCTACGCTGATAACAAAGTTGTTGTAAGCAGGTACACATCAACTGTAACACTAGTCATACCTGTCAATTAATATGCTATATACGAAAGTATTCCTATTTAGCACTCATTTCTTTTGTCATGGCCAAAGCACTTCGCGTCCTGTCTTTGCAACATGCCTTGAGTAACGCGTCATATTTATACGTGTCAAGCTCCAAATCCTCATTTTTCACTTTTGCAAAATATTCACAAGTTATTCCAATATTACCAGGAGATGCCTACCCATGCATAATGGTTGTATATCTCACTTGCATGGACTAGTGCCTGCAGGCAACATATCATCAAAATATTGTACAGCCTTCTCAATCTGTATCAAGTTAAAGATAAAGTGAACAAATGAAGAGCTAGAGAAAACAGTTGCATCAAATAAAGCATATGTTAGCACCAGAAACTGAGACGTCATTTTGTTCATCATTTATCCACTTAAAAAAGCATCGAGAACATGAGAGAGATGAACAATAGAAGGAGAAATACAAGAACAAGTTAAGAAAGCAGAGGTAACTTGCCTGTTACCTCTCAGGAGTAGCTACATTTACTATGTGATGACTCTGAAGTGATTTCTTGAAAGGAAAATTCCCCATTAACTGAATAGCCTGCAGGCATGGAAATGAAATATCTTTATTCAAGCAACAGCATATCAAGGTGCATATGAAGATCTCCATTATTTTTTTTAAAAAGGAATCCATTTTAAAAAGGTGCACATGAAGAATCACAAAAGTAGGAATTTCTTACTTTATTTATTGTCAGTTCTATCAAGTCCCTCTAGCAGCAATGAATATGTATGAGCACTGAGCCGAAAACGATTTTTCTCCATGATATCTAACAACTCCAAACATCTATCTACAAGTCCTCTCTCAAGTAAGCCATCAATTAGAAGTTTCCAAGCTACTTCATCATTATTGTACCCGCAACCAAGAAGCCTGAAGAAGGTCGTCTTAGCTTTCTCATTGTTTCCGTCATCATACAACCCACACACAAGGAGCTTGTATGACTCTAAGTGTGGTAAAAAACCTTGTGAAAGCATAGTGTCAAGAAACCTTGCTGCATCCTCATACATTTTCAACTTGCAACAACAATTTACCATTGAGGTATATATATCTTCACCAGGAGATATTCCACAACTCTGCATATGATCAAGTAACCTCAAAGCTTCCTCAAGGCGTCCTTCTCTACAGAGTCCAGTAGTAAGCGAACTAAAAATGTTTGTGTTTAGAGGACAGCGATGTTCCACCATTTTATCAAAGAGTTCAAGCAAAGTTTCATATTTCACCACTTTCCACACGTCAGCAATATTAATGGAACTGGCCTCAGTTTTGAGATCAACTCCTCCTTGTGACAAATGTTTGATTAAAATAGAATAAGTGTACTGAGAAGGTTCATGACCAGCATCGACCATAAATTTTAGCACATCAAAGGCCCGATTCAATAATCCTGCACGACCATAGCCATCAATCATTACTGTATAGGCCATCACATCTGGCATAACTCCTGTCTCTGCCATCTTATCCATTACATCCTCTGCTTCTTTCAATTTCTCTTCATTGTAATATGCAACCAGAAACGAAGTGTAAATGCATACATCAGGTTTGTGTCCCATGGAAACCATTAAATGAAAAACCTTATAAGCTTGGCCAAAGGCAGATTCTTTTAGTAGTTGCTCAATCAAGATACTGTAGGATTCAATTGTGGGTTTAACACCACTTCCTGGCATCATTTCAAGTAATCGGTCTCCTTCCAGCTGCTTACCCTGCTTACACAACCCTTTAATTAGCACATTATAAGTGCATGCATTTGGAGAGCAGCCTTCCTCAATCATTTTCTTAAACAATGTCAAAGCAACATCAGCTTTTTCAGCTTTGCAATATCCGTCTATGAGAGCAGTGTACATCGCAACATTAACCTTTATACCCTTCTCTTTCATAGAACTAAAAATGGTGGAAGCTTCTTCAACTCTGCCTCTTTTACACAAGCCATCAACCAGAGTACAATAAGTCCACTCATCAGGAGCCAAATCGTTCTCTTCCATCAATTTAAGCAACCTAAATGCACTACCTATTTCACCCTCTTTACACTGTCCATGAATTAACAAGTTAAAAGTGACATCACTAGGAGACATTTTGCGCTCAAGCATCTTATCAAGTAGTGCCATTGCCTTATGCACCTTCTTTATCATACAAAAGCCAGAAATCAATTCATTGTATGTACGCACATTTGGTATACAATTATTGGATTCCATCACGTCAAAAACATCTAGCGCGAAATCAACCAAACCTTGCTTACAGTATCCATCAATCAAAGCATTGTATGTCACCACATTCGGAACTAGTTTCTTTTCCGACATCACATTCAGCAACCCTCTCGCTTCGTCAAGCTTAAAGTCTTTACACAAGCCATCAATGAGCACAGTATAAGTATGAACATTCGGCTCACAGCCCTTCTCCTTCATCTCATCAAACAAACACAACGCTTCTTCCCTCCTATCCAATCCACACAACGCATCAATCAGAATCGTATAGCTCCTAACATTCGGACGACAACCATCATCTCCCATTCCCAAAAACAACTCCATCGCCTCATCAATCCTCCCCCCTTCACACAACCCGTGAATCAAATTGTTGTACGAAACCACATTCCTTAGACAACCCTTCTTAGACATTTCCATAAACACCTTAAAAGCACTATCCACATCCTTTCTCCTACAATGCCCCAATACAAACGACGTATACGTATGAGTATCCGGATTCAAACCAGCTTGCGAAATCTTACTCAAATAAAACTCAGCTTCAACAACATTACCCAATTTACAATAAGCATTAATCATTGTATTAAAAGTATAAATATCAGGCTTAATCATATCACTCAACATCTCATCATACACACATTTCATATCATCAATCATAACAAACCTCGATAAACACATCAGCAACTTGTTATAACCCCAAACATCAACTTTAAACCTGCACCTCATCTCCCGAACAAAACCCATCACGAAAACAGCATCATCCCGGGTTTCGCAAGATTTAATCATGGAAAGTCGGGTTTTTTCAGCGACCCGGAAGAGGTTATTGGAAATCAAAATGCGTAAAAGGGGTGCGTAAGATTGAGGATTGGGTTTGAATAAAGGGGTATTTCGGGTAGATAAATAATCGAAGAAGGAGATTACAATGTGGGGGTTGAGATTTGGGTTTTGCGAAAGGAAAGAAGACAAATGAGAAGGGGATAACGAAGGAATAAGAGTGTTGAGAGAAGGGTGTTTTCGCCAATTTGGGTTTGAAAGGATGGAGAAGAGCTGGTGGTTAATGGAGGAAGAAGAAGAAGAAGAAGAAGAAGAAGAAGAAGTGATGGATTTGATGAAGAAGATGGAAACTGAGTGAGCTGAACGCAACGCCGCTGATAGTTGCATCATTGTATGATCGGGAAATTCAACGGGGGAGATGAAGAGAACTCCATGTAACAGTACGAAAGAGAGGAGAAAATTTAGTTAAGTGTTACAGATCCATTGGAGCTGAGAAATGGAGCTCTGCTGGCTGAGTTGAAGAAGACGACGACATGTGTTTTTGTTTAAATTATTTTTTGTGTATTATTTTACTTAAATCAAGGATGTATCGAAAATGTTAAAAAATAAATCAGTTTTGGTCCTCTGTGTTCTTCATCAAATATTTAACGAACTTTATTAGTTAAATTTGATAAAACATGAAAAGAAAATTAAAATTACTAAAAAGTTACGTCAAATCTTTGAAATTACGACATTGAAAAACTATATAAAACATCTAAAAGTTATATTAAAAAAACTGCATCAAACTCTTAAAAAATGACCAAAATTAGTAGAAATCAGCAAAAAGTATACCTTTAAATATAAATTTTCGCTAAATAAATTTCATAATTTCTATCGATTCATTAAATATTTAATGAAGATTAATTATTGGTGAAATTAAAAGACCAAAATAGTTTAGAGCATACTTTATGGGTTTATTTTGAACCAATTCACCAACATAAGGGGCTATTTTTGTAATTTTCTCTTACTCTTTATTTCATTTTTATTCTTTAATATGTTTTATTCTTCTTCTTTTTTCAATTTTTTTGTTTTCGTACTTACATTTTTTTTAATTATTATTTCTAATACTAAAGTTTTCCCCTTTTTTTTCTTTTTTGGCTTTCTTTATTTCTATTTTATGTCAATTAGGAATATTAACTAATCATTATTAATATGCTTATACATTTTTACAGCTACAAATGCATAGTTTTTCAAGAAAATTATCATCAAGATGAATATTCATGGTCATAAAGTTTATAACTAGTATAGGGGTCGTTTGGTAGAGTGTATTAGGAAAAATAACGCATGCATTAACATTGTGTATTACTAATACCTTGTTTGGTACACTTTTCCAACCTATGTATAACTAATGCTTGCATTAGTTATACACTCTATTGTGTATTAAGGTGTGTATTGCTAATACCATTGGATTTCTAGGTATTAGCAATGCAATGGTTTTAATGCATGCATTAGATTAACTAATGACAAAACTACCCTCTAAGCCTAATAATAATTATTATTATTATAATTAATAATAATAATAATATTATTATTATTATTATTATTATTATTA